GCATGACTGACCTGAGGTTTCAGGAGTGCCTGGCTGGCTGCCTGGCTTTTGGGGGAGTTTTTCAGGTGTTGGGCTCTTGTTTTTGTTTTTATTTTTATTTTATTATTGTAGAATAGTTGGCAAGATACACCTGGGTGATTCTACTCTTTGGGCAAGGCAATGTGAATGTGTTCAACCCCTTTCCTACACTCAGTTCAGAATTTGTGTTATCCAGAATGACTGAAGATTTTTTTGAAAATAAAACATTTTTCCTAAGCGATTGTGTTGTCCTGTCCATGTAAAATGCAAATTTCATTTCATGTGTTAAAGCAAAAGGAAACACAGCAAGATAAGAATTATAGATGTCTCAGCTTTTTAGGTCTGGGTCTGTTGCTAGGGAATTGTTATGGCACCACAATTGGAAAATAATTAACTTGAAGTGTAAATAGAACAGAATTTCTGAGAAATGGGGAGAGAAACTGCCTTTAAATAGAAACTCATTCATCTCTTTCTGTTATTTGTTCCTGTTTCCATTTAGTGTTCGGTAGAGAAGATGAGAGGATGGTGGGTATTGTAGGCTTCTTTTGGCAAAGGGACAAGGCTTTTTTGTTACCATATTCCATTTTTGCCTTAATTTGAATTGGTATTCCTGTGTAGGCTTAACTCCTGTCACTTGAGATGGTTGGATGGGTGGATTAAGTGTGTGAATCTGATGGCAAGGTCTAGTTGCCACCAGTTTTGTGTGCTAGTGTAGGCAGCAGCCACATATTTGAATAGCGTATAGTACAAATGAACACTGGTTTGGGTAGAGGCTGTGTGTGCTCTCTATTTAATGTATTTTTTTTTGTTAATATCAGTTGGGAATAAGTTTGTATGTATAATTATTAAGGTAAATAATCTAATTAATACAATATTTTTCCCCACAAATGTGTGTGGGGTAGAAATGCCTTAGCATTTACACGGGGGTTCCCAGCCCAGATAGTTGGTAGAAAAAAAATCTGGGGATGTCCATGGATACTGACTGCTAATATGGTTTCATGTTATTGTTCCTAAGCTTAGGACATGTATAAAAGACAAAAAACTTAGCCTTTCTTTAAAGAAAAAAAAAATTCTTCCCCTTTGTCTCCAGCGGTTTGAACACTCAGCCAAACTGAGGCGAAAGATCACTACGTATGTCTCATTTCCGCTGGAGCTGGACATGACACCATTCATGGCTTCCAGGTGTGTACCAAGTTCAAAATTCCCCAAAGACCTGGACAGAACTGTTTACCAGTTCGTACATGTGCATCATGAAACATGGAACATCCTTGAATCAAGGTTATAGAACAGTATGTATAATGATACTCCTGCTGTAAGCTTCTCTTTGAAATGTGCATCTTTTCTAAACTGATTTAGATAAATTATTGAGTTTTGTGTGAGCCAGAAAAGGCTTTATATTTAAACATTTTTTTAATTATTATTATTATTTTGTGTTATATTTCTGGTTGTATGTTAAATTTATAGACTCAAATCCATTGTGCCTTCAGATCTCTGCTTTGGTCCCATCACCTGAGTGCCCACCCAGCAGTCATCTTGTGTGATTAAGCAGACTAGAGACATCACCTAATGCCTAACCTAGTATTTCTGAAGTTATAAAAATCCTCCCTCTTTATTCCTGCACAGATGCAAATCTGGGGTTTTTTGTTTCGTACCTTCAGCTTCTGTTTAGAGAATGCTGCGAGAAGAAAAAACGTAGTCCAGATTAAAATAGGTATTTCTAATTGGTATTTAAACAGAAACAGTAAGACTTCTCCCACCTCCCAGGTTTGTGAAAGGCATGACAGTTATATAAATATACCTTAATGAAAGGAATTTAATCAGCTCAGTTAACAAGTATTTGTCAGGTATTCCATTCAAATATACAAGAGGCTATTCAGATTTAATTTATATCTGAAGCAATGCAGAAAACCCACAAAACATGGTGTTGCTTAACACAGGGCCTCTATTTGATGCTAAAATCTTACTAGTAATTTCAAGTGTCACATACACCCCACACTCCCCACAGAGAAAAGTAGATGCTTCTGCCAGGAGAGAAAGGAGAGCCCTGAAGCCCTGTTAAATAGTATTATATTAAGAATATATGGTTTATTCCAGTATATTCTGGAGATTTTGAGATTTCCCTGTTCCTCTGTGGTGAATTCTCCCTGGATAGAACAGGCTCTGCTGATGAAAGGTATCAAGCATAATGGAACATAGATGGGATAATCAGCAGGCATAGCTCAGTAACCTGAATTTCATTGGCTATGAAATCAACAGCCTAATCCTATTGCTGCTATCAAAACACAAAAATAATTTACAAGTCAGAGCCAGGGTGATTGATCCATCACAGGATAAAGGATTGATTTAATTAGATATTTTTCCAGGTTTCAAATACAAATCTTTTCTTAACCTGTTTTTAAGCTTTCTAGATAGGACATTTGATGTAAACAGATCTGTATTTTCAGCACTGAATCTTTGACCAGGAGGAGAAATGATGGTTTTTTATGTAGCATTGCTGTGAGAACAAATAAAGCATCTTTAGCATCCTAATCAGCAGCCCTTCTCTGCTGCTAAGCAGCATCATGCTTTTGAATAAGGGCCTGGATTTGGCAAATGGGCTGTGTCATGTAAAAAAAACCTATTTCCTCAGTTTGGGAAGCCACTGCTTTTAAGTGACTGGATTTTTGTGTGTGTGTGTGTGTTACAGTAAAGAGAGCAGAATGAACGGGCAGTACCAGCAGCCGACGGATAGTCTAAACAATGATAATAAGTAAGTGGTACATTCCATGACTCCTATTGTGAAAGGTAGTTTGGCTTCTAGAAGGAGATATACAGTCTGATGTATATCCTGCAGTGCAAAGTGCATTACCGTATTTGACAGCACAGTAAGTCTAAACTGTTGCAAAAATAAAGCTTCATTCACTACAATTGCCTCCCTTTTCATGGTTTTGTGGCAGCTGACTTCCAGATCTGAAGGTGATAACTCCAGCAATTGGGCTATGGCCAAAATTAAAAGCTATGGGTATAGTAATAAAAGGGAAGGGTGTTTTCTTTAATTAATCCTATTCCTGTTGCAATAACAAAGGGATTTCCAGAGGACCGAAAGAAAGTTTATAGAACGCTGACACTCAAAGTCCCAAGCAGATGACTCCAGTAATTCTGGGGTCTCTTGGTCAGATATTTTGATTCCAGGCAGAATAAATGACAGGCTGATATGGGACTTGCTCAAGAATGTAGAGGGAGTGTAATTGAAACCAATATCCACAGCTTTATGGCAATAGAGATGGTCACACAAGCCTTATTTTTTTTTTTTTTTAAATAAGGTTATAAGTTTGGTCATGTGCTGATGTTGTATATTTAAATTCTTCAAGGCACTTCATTTGGCACTAGAAGTTGTCATTAAGAAACTGGAATCACACAATAGATAGACTTAAAAACTAGCTAACCAGGTCCTAGTACAGCTGTCATACAAGCAGACACCAGGCAGGTGTTAATGTGGGGTCCTATAGCGATTGATTCATGAGATGTGTGGTGTTTAACAGTGTTAGGAAGGATCTGAAAGAAAACACAACCGGTCATTCTTGAGATTTGCACATGACTTAAGTTGGAGAAGTTATTAACAATGAAGAGGATTAGGTAATGAGAGTGGAGGCATCTGGGCTGCTTAGTCAGATGGGTGCCAGTAAACAGCTGGGGCACTGAAGAGTGGTGTCCATCCCAGTTGGACTAAAGGACTCCACTAGGAAGAGGGTGACTCTATAAATCAGTGGCTCTGTCGACAGTCAGCTGAACAGGTGCCTTGTTGTGGCACCACTGTGTCAAAAGAGCTCTGTGAATTTTGAACGTCAGTAGGACAATATCAAGTGAGATTAGAGAGATTATTTTACCTTTCTGCATCTGGGTGTGTCTCCCAGTTTGAGGACAGCATTTTAAGAAAGAGTTAGTGGAGAACATTTGAAAAAGAGCTGCAAGTGTATAAAGACTGGAAACAAGATCTTACCTTAGAACAAAAGAGCCAAGAACTTCAGTCTTTTCCTTTTTAAGAAAAGAAAAGGATAAAAAGTTAAGAGCAACTCGATTAGTCTGTCAGTGTCTTTCTTTAGAGCAGAGATGTGTCTGCTAGTTTTCAGGCTAACAGGCAAACGTGCAGCAGCATCTGAAAGCAGGAAGTTGAAGTCTGTGTATATTCAGTATTTGAAAATAGATGCAGACTTTCCAGATTAAGGGCAATTAATCAGTACAGCCATTTATGACTAGAAATATTTAGGATTATCTCCTTCCCCATCCCCCAAATGCATTTTTCTGGTTCACTGGAGTAACTAATTCAGGGAGATAGAAGGTCAGACTAGATAATCAATGGTCCTCTTCAGGAGTGCATCAATACTGATCTATTTTAGAAGAAAAATGTTTGGAAGCCAGTATTGGTAAAGCTGACAGCTGTCATCAGGCTGGAGTGTTGCAGTAATAGCAAGACAGAAAATGAAAAATGTGGTTCTTTTCCCTGAGCAAGGATACCCTCTCCCCAGTTAACGTTAAGAGCTGGTGTTTTATTGATGGATCTGATCCATCACTGTTTCTATACGTGTTTATGAGCACAGGCTTCTGCCTGAAATGTCAGTTGCTTTTCCCTTTTTGATCCACTTACTCATTAACTCTTTTCTGTGCCAGGTATTCCTTGTTTGCAGTAGTTAATCACCAGGGAACCTTGGAGAGCGGGCACTATACCAGCTTCATTCGGCAGCACAAGGACCAGTGGTTCAAGTGTGATGATGCCATTATCACCAAGGCTAGCATTAAGGATGTGCTAGACAGTGAAGGGTAAGTTGTGAGCTGGAAAGGAGATAGGAAGGGAAACTTTGACCTTTGTTGGGTTTTCCTTACTTTCAGTTGAAAGACCCCTTCATCATAGAGAAGACTTAATTTCTCTGTTGGAATATCTAATGTCTCTCTCCGTGTATGTATCGGCGCTTCAGAATGTTGCTTTATAATCCTGTATTTGTTGAAGGAGGAAGGAGGGAAGGACAAGGGACATCAGCTGACTGTGCAGTGTCTATAACAGGTGCTCATGTCCATGTCCTTGCTTGCAATGGAAGGGACTCTGAAAACCAAAGTGCTATGATCATCCAGTGTAGCAGCAGTTCCAAGTGTTTACACCTCATGGCACAATCCTTTGTCTGCAGAACCTTTGGATTACTGTGAGTGTAAAAGATTTGAAGAAAAGCCATTAATAAAATATTGTGAACCAGAGTGACAAGGCTTTTTGGGAGGCTGGTACAGAACTTGAGCTGTTTCTTAGCTCATGGCTTTCATTGAATTTCAGATTGACATTTTGGTTTTGGATATTTGCATTAGGTGAGTATCAGGAGTGCAGAGCAGTAGTTTGCAAGGGAAGCATCTTGGTGTTCCTCATTTGAGGGAAGCACTGGGGACTGGTATATGTTTCAAGAATAAAATAACTTAAAATCTGAAGTCTTAATTTTGCATTTTCAACTATGGACTTGGTGCTGGAAAGATAAGCCTGTATTGTTCTTGTTTTAATTATTCCTCACATTTCCGTGGATTGCCGCAGGCACAGTTGTCCACTTTGTAATTTATTTTTTTTAACAGATTTTCCCATTTTTTGAAATTCAACCAGGAAGTAAAAAAATCTATCCTGTAATATCTGAATTTTAGTGTTAAATGATTTGACAAGGAAGCTTCTGCTCTGAGATCAGCAGGGCAATGAGTTTGTTTTTCTTAAATAACAAGTGACTCGCTCTGCTCCTCAGAGGGGATGAGTCTGTGGAAGAAACTGCCGTAGGTGAGGAGGAAAGGGCTTGCAATGCAACTGCTGCCCATCCATCTCATGAAAGGCTTGTTTGAGCTCTGATCCATTTTCCCTGGTTCAGATAAAGGCTGACACTAAGTAGATCTACATTGTATAAGGGAAACTCCATAGGGTGTGAGATGGAACGATAATAATTGAAAAGTCTCAAAAGTGCTTTGAAGCATTTCCAGGGAGTCAGGCAGTGACACCCTCGTTGTGTGGGGTGTAAAGGGTATGTAGAGATGAGTCCACTTCCCTCTGACATGTAACTGCTTGAGGGCTGGGCTCTGTTATGTAGCAGTACACCTAAAATAATTAAGGACAGGAAGAATTTAATCTTACTAAAACACCAGATTCGAGTACAGATTGAGACATTAGATATTTGAGTTGGATTTGATTGGGACACATGAGTTTTCACCCACGTGCCTGGTTCTTCATTTTCCTTCTGTAACAGTAAATGGCAGACAGTTTGCAATAATCCTGAGTGTCTGGTGCTTTGGTAATGTGACTCTAAAGCAACAGTTCCATCTTAAAGCACCTCTGTTGTATCTTATGTCATGATAGTGGTGATCTGGGCACCAACACGATCCAATCTTCCAGACCTTTCAGGTTTTAAGTAGATTGTACAACAAGAAGGTTTGACTATTTGATGTACAACTGTTCAGTTTCCTGGGGTGCTGGTAAAATTATTTCAGTTGACTTCCCTCCTTCTCATCCCTGGTTACTATAGGGACCTGGCATGTCCCTGGAATCGCTTGAAATTGAAAAGGAAAAACAAAATTAATAGTCCTCATTTTTTATGATTGCATAAATGGAAATGCTCATCTGCTCCGATGCACAGCAGAAAGCTGAAACTCTACCTCTGCTTTCTTGCAGATATTTGCTGTTCTATCACAAACAATTCCTGGAGTATGAATAGCCTTATCCAGCAGCTTGTCAGATATAAACAAGGAAGAAAATAAGCAAGCCTTCTGAATCGACACACAAACCTACCTGAAATGAAAAGACCCATTAAAAAAAAACAACTAGCACTGAGCTGTAACAGGACCTACTTGACACTGACTCAAAGCCTTGGCGGAGTAGGAAATGAACAATGTCCACCGTGTATGCAGTCCTGCAAGGACAGAAAGGGGGGAAAAAAATTAAAAAATAAAAGAGGCTACAGTCAAGTCACTTAACAGAGGAAATATAAAATGAAAGGAATGCTCTGGGTGGGGGAAATGGGAGCAGAGAAGTCCGGGCACTGGTACATCTCCTATGTTCCTCCAAAATGTGTGTGGGAAGGCAAAGGGTTCTACCCTCATCTCCATAAAGCATCTTCTCCATTTGGTGCTTCAGCTCCAATGACCAATCATATAACAGTTAAAATTAAAAATCCAAGCCCATTTTTTTATGCATATGGATCTGAAAGCAGTAGAGTGGAGGAGGAGGGGATGACACAACTAAAGGACTTTGCAAGTATCTTTTTATTTGTGAATTTTAGTTATTAAATAAATACAGTATGAAACTATTAGGCTCTTTTTTTTCCAACAACCCGTAAAAGAAATCCTGGATTGTGGAACTGAAGCTCCAGTACTCAGACAGGTTTTCAAGCATGCCTGTTTGCACAGGTAATGTTTAATGCCATCGGACTGCTCATCGAAAGCATCAGCACAGATTCTTTTCTGTTTGAGCCCTTTTTTGTTTTGTTTTCTATAAATAACTATTTTCTTAATTTTTTTTCTCCTTTTATTCCCTTTTTTTTTTTCCACGAGAATGAAATTCATAAATGCAACCATCAGTAAAAATGAATGAATTGGTGTGTTTATACTGTAAGAGTGGTCTTGCTTCTTTTTTTTTAAAAAAAAAATCTTGTGAATAAGCTTGAATTTCTTAAAATGGCTCGTTTTGTTGTTGCTGGTTTTGTTTTGTTGGTTGGTTGTTGTTGGTTTGTTTCGGTTTTGTTTTTTTCCTGCTGCCTTCCAAAGGCATATTTATAACACTTGAAAGGTTTTTCAGTATTGAAGAATGTCCCCATCTGCTCGGAAGGGTTTGTGCTGGGGGCAGCATTGAGCGCTGGAGCTGCTGCTGTTGAGCACTTCTGCAGTGCTCTGGGTTTTGAGTAAACACCACATTTTCCTGGGATGCAGCTAGGCTGGTATTGGTTCCTTCTCTCCTCCCACATGTATTAACTCCTCACGTACTCTTCTCCTTGCAGAGTCACAACCTCCACCTTGGTGTCCTTAGCTGGCAGCTCTTGCTTTTTTTTTTTATCTTGCTTTGTCACAAACGCCGCTTTTCCTCCTCTCCCTCCATCACTGTGTTTTAAAAGCAGCTTGTTGAGGTACCAGCTCACGGGCTGCAGTTTGTTCTCGGGAGGTTGGGCTGTGGATTGAACCACAGCCTGGGAAAGAAACTGTTCAGAATATAGAGCTTAAAGGAGCCAGAAGAGCTTTGTTCTCCCTTCCTGATGGAACCTGTAGGGAGCTGTGTGTAAGAGTTGGGTGCTGTATAAATTGGTTCAGCTCAGCAGACGTATCCAAACAGTCGTTCATCGACTTGACAGTGTGGTGAAAAACATGGATGGGTTTAACCTTTTAGATTCCATGCTCTAGAAATGAGTTACAGGTGTCTGCAGAGGTAGAAAGGGGTCTGATAAACAGGGAGAAATAGGAGGAAAATAAGGGAAGCGAGTTGGTTTGGTTTTTAAATGAGCATCTTACAAGAGCAGCCGAACAAAAGGACGGTGGAGTTGCATTTGATTTGTGCACAAATTGGAAGAGTACAAGGCGGTTTTGTACATCACGAGATTTCTGCGACAGCTTGCAGCAGGGAAGGAAGAAGGGACAACTCATTGAAGCATCTTGGATACCAAATCAGACACAGAAGATGCTCCGTAGGGAGCGGGAGTTCCCTCCGCAGCCTGATTCCCGCGGAAGCCACAGCCTGCTCTGGTTTTGTCACCTGCCTTTCCTTGTCGTCGCACTGGAGACAATTTTCAGTTGCAATCGAGTGCTGCAGGATTTAACCCGAGCGTTCTTGTCACGAATGAAAAATTGCTGGAGAAATGCAGATGGAGGGTGCAGCCGCGGGAAGGGGACCCCTCCCTCCCTGAGTCGAGCTGGGTGTCGTGCAGACGCTTGACGACGCTTTCTGCTGCCTTTTAATAATGCAGCAAGCTTGCGGCGGGGACAAGGACCAGCCTGGCCTTATTGCCAGCTGCTGTCCCCAGCGTGTCCTGGCGCTGGAGGAGGAGTGCCACCGCGCGGCAGCCGCCGTCGCTTTGTGGTGCCGATATCGGAGCCTTGGGCTGTGGTTTTTGATGCTGAAACTGAACAAATACATTCTGTTTTCCACTAGCACACGCTTGGCCACCGGAGCTAATGCAATCTGTTTTGTTAATCCTTTAGAAACTGATTGTTTAGGGATGAGCCCAGCCATATAAATCAGATTTTATTTTATTTTCTTATTTTATTTTCTTATTTTATTTTCTTATTTTATTTTCTTATTTTATTTTCTTATTTTATTTTCTTATTTTATTTTCTTATTTTATTTTCTTATTTTATTTTCTTATTTTATTTTCTTATTTTATTTTCTTATTTTATTTTCTTATTTTATTTTCTTATTTTATTTTCTTATTTTATTTTCTTATTTTATTTTCTTATTTTATTTTCTTATTTTATTTTCTTATTTTATTTTCTTATTTTATTTTCTTATTTTATTTTCTTATTTTATTTTCTTATTTTATTTTCTTATTTTATTTTCTTATTTTATTTTCTTATTTTATTTTCTTATTTTATTTTCTTATTTTATTTTCTTATTTTATTTTATTATTTTTATTACTTTATTTTTTCCCCACCCTGTAGGGCTGCTGAGGAAGGCTGTGCTCTGTACAACTCCATCGCCACAGATGGTTTTCAGGGGGAGATTTCAATCCTCTGTTTCTGGTTTCAAAAGCAGAATTCCTGGTGTATTAAAAGCTCCTTTTCTTTTCTTCCCTCCACCATCCCACCCCCTGTGTCTCTCCCTGAATTTATACCAGGCAGGTTTTTATTTCCAGTAACAGTAAATGGGTGCAGCTTGCTAAAGGAGGAGAGAGCATTTTCCTTCTTCATTTAAAAGCAGAACCCTCCTCTTACCCTTCATCTCCTCGGAAGCAGCTGGCAGCTCACACAGCGACTGTTCCCTGCAGGGTTCTCTGAGCAGAACTTCCAACATCACCTTTAGGAAAACGCCGACCACAAAACCCTTCGCTGTGCGGCCGGACGCTCGCGATGGGCTGAGGACGTTCTCCCTCCCCAACGTGAAGGCTGCTGCTTCCTGAGGGACGACCGCGCTGCTTCGCCTGCTGCCCCCCTTCATTTCAAGGAGCAGTTTTGGGGCTGATGTGTTTATTTTGAGGTACGGTTTTCTCTCAGCACAGCTTGGGCTGTTGTGAGGAAGCATCTGTAGAAATCACTGAAATCAAAGGCTGGTGGTGATGGAGGCTGAGGTTGCAGTGTATGTTCTGTTCTCTACCAGCAACAGCCACGGCTCTACATGGGGCACAAAAACAGCCAGAAATTGGCTTTCAGTGTGATATTTTCTTGTCCCTCAGCTGCTTGACTAGAGAGAAACTTCTATTTGATGCTGGTGCCTAATGGAAACCTGAGCAAAAGCAGAAATGTGAGAATTGATTAAACCTCCAGGTAGATGCTCTTGCTCAGAATCAGGACCCTTAATTCCACACGGTTTAATTTTTCCCAGCTGTAGCTGCCTGTGTCCCACACTTGGTGTCCCTCAGATACTCAGAGTGATGTCTCCAAGTGTGCACCCTCAGCGCTGGCAAAAGTGATACCACAAATCCATTGATTCCTCTTGGTTCTCCAGCTCCTGAGGCTCTAGGATCCTGTGTGTTAATCTCACTGATGATTTGTTCATGTTGCTCCATGTCACCTTTTTTTTTTTATAACCTGATAACAGTAGTTCTGTTCCCTGAAGGAGGAGCAGGGATGTCTGTGAGGGTGAGGAATGCTCTGCTTGTGCCTATCGATGCTGGAGGGAACGACTTGCCTTCTGATGAACGTTTTCCCTGGTTTCTGGGACACAAACGACACTGGCTGCTGCAGAGTGGTCCTGCTTCCTGCACCTTCTGCGGCGAGTGCTGGAGGATCCAGAGAAGCCCTGGGCAGTGATGGGAGGGACAGCCCCAGCCCAATGCAGGCTCTGCCTCGTGTGACAAGGGAAGTGGCCTCCTGGGCCACTTGCCAGCGCCACAAAGGCCAAGCTCTCGCACTAGCTGGTGTAAACGCTTTCCCAGAAGCTTTCTTGTTTGAATAATTGATGCTGCTCAATCCTCAAGAGCCGCCCTAATTGTAACAACTCCCGGCACGTGCTCAGTTATTTCTCTCCTGTTTTTTAATTAAGGTTCAGAATCTCTTTGCACAAGTAGCGTGGCCGGGGGTTCCCGTGGGTGACAAGCGCTTGTCCCTGGAGGTGACGCTTGACCATCTGCAGGGCACTGGAGCCGGACAAAGCCAAGTGTCCCCAGCGCTGCTCTGTGCTGGGCAGGGGCAGGGTGACAAGGCACCGTGTCTGCTTTGCAGGATTTTCCTTCTCCTGGAGCTCCTGTCCTTGCTGGGAAGCGTTTGGGCAGAGGGGGACATGGGGCTGGGGGCTTTCCCAGCCCTGGAGCTGGCAGGGGACGTGCTGGTGCTGCCCTGGGGTAAGTGCCAAACCCCTGCACCCCACAGAGGCTGTGGGGAGGGGAGACCAAGAGGAGGAGGAGAGGCCAGAGCTGAGGAGGTTGGGCAGGAGTGGGAGGCCCAGTGAGGGTGGAGGATGCAATGCTGTAGGAGGCCATAGAGCAGCAATGGAGGATGAGGAGGGACCAAGAGACTTTGGAGGGCAACAGGCTGAGGGAGGCAGAAGAGGAGTGTGAGGATGAGCAGGAGCAGAGGCTGAGCCAGGATGGGAGGCTGAGGAAGAACTGGGGCTAAGCAGGGTTGGGAGGCTAAGAGGAGGTGGGAGGCCAAGGAAGGGTTAAGCCTGAACAGGGGTAGGAGGATGAAAGAGGATGAGAGGCTGAGGAAGGGTTGAGGCCAAGTAGGGGAAGGAGACCAAGAGGAGATGGGAGGCCAAGGAAGAGTTCAGACTGAGCAGGGGTGGGAGGCTGAGGAAGAGTTGAGGCTGAGCATATATGTAGGCCAAGGTGGCATCTGAGGCTGAAAAACTTTTGGAGGTTTAGGGGAGTGGAGATGCTAAGGATGCCGTGGTGTTTGGGGCCATGGTGTTGGTGTCTGTGGGAGCTGAGGCCATGGGACAGGAGAAAATTGGAGCAGCTTCCACAGGAGGGAAACAACAGGAGCTGAGACCGTGGAAGATGATGTTCTGGAGTTGGAGGCCCCGGGGTGATGGCTGTGATAGAGATGCTGAGAGGGAGGAGGAGGCCAAGAGAGGCTTCATATTGAGAGAGTGGGAGGTAGAGGAGGGATGGAGAATGAGAGTGCAGGAGGCCAAGGGAGAGTTGGAGGCCCATGGACTGAGGGTGGGAGGCAACGAGTGTGAGAGGCTCAGCCGGCGGCGGTGACACTGTCACTGTACCCTGCCAGCAGCTTGCTCGTGGCCGGGGTGTGTGTCGTGTTCTCCATGCACATGTGTGAGCCCTTGCTCTCCCCATTGCACCGTGGGGTGGTGACCCCAGGGCTCACCCATTGTGTTGAGGAAACCCACTTGTGAAAAATGAGACTTCAGTTTTGAAAAGGTTTGTGTTCTGCTCTCGGATGTGAATGCTGCGTGATCTAAAACTCGCCCCTCGTGCTCCTGCGGGATAAGGACTTTGCTAGTGGAGGACA